AGGTAAAGTTGGATTAAATCATTAGAGTGGTTCTATTAAAAAAGGAAATTTTACAGTGATAGAGGGTCACATTTTGGTTGACTGAGTAAAGTGGTGTTTTGTACCAGTTGTTTTAATACCAGAAACACAAGTCCTTTACTCTTGAAGCAATTGAAGCTTCTTTTAAATGTCAGTTGATAATAATGAAAGCAAGATCAATTCAATTTTGAGGGGTGGGGAACTTTTTTTCATATCCAGGGCAATAGTCAACTAAATTATTGAACACATATATGACTGTAGCCACTTTGATGCGATGGCTGGAATTACCTCTGGTGAGGTGTCTAATGTCAGATGGTAGTGATATGGCTCACAATGACAAGTTGGGTGTTATATCTCATCACAGGCCAGAGAGAAATTTCTTGCAGTGTCCTTCAGTTTTTCTGAATATTTTGTGCCATATCAGTGATCCGCTCTGCGACAGTTCTTTGAGATAAAGTGACACTTTGGACCATTTTGGCATTTTACTGCTGTAGTAGCTAAGCAGCAGCAACATGGCTCCTTCACAAATTCTCTGTCTGAATCACATCTCAGCTTCTTAGCTATCAGCTTACTCATCTCAAAACTTACCTGCATGATATTGTCTCTGTCAGAATTTGATCTTGTAACTGCTGCTTGTTTGGTGCACAAACTCCACTGAAGATCATTAACTGAGAGCCATGCAGCCGGAAGAGTCTACCCTAAAGGGCATCGTTATTTTATGAAAGACTGGCTGTCATAAAAATCTTTTGGAAACCTTGCATGGAGGACAGACGTTCCCCACACATGATCTAGAGACTGTTTCAAGCAAGTAGCAGTTGTTCAGCAGCTAATTTAATAGAAGATAGAAGGACTGTGTCATTTTTATAAAGATATGTGTTGCTATGTAAATGTAACAACATTATGTAATGTAGCATAGTAAGTAGTGAACTCAAACTATAATGGATGTGGATATGTCTGTAAACACATCTATTAGCCTTTCTAGCTATACGTTGGTTTCAAAGCTATCAGTCATTCTGCATTCACATGGTCATTCCCTATGTACTTCACGGTTTGGGGGTTTTCATTATCCCTTGTGAGTAGAGTGGCTACTATGACGTGAGCTTGGTACTGCTACACAGAACAGGCTCATGAATCTACGGGCTGTCTGGTGAGTGTTAGTTGTCGAGCTTCATCGTATCACAGGATGAAAATGGAAGTGGGGAGCCTTTGGCTGCAGATGCCATGTTTTCTCTAGCATGCAAGATGGTGCGTGTCTCACACACCTAGGGTAAATTTCAGAAGTGTGTGCCTGCTCAGTCATGCACCTTCACATGCAATGGAAAACACAGGCCTTTCTGGAGAAGAGGGGGTGAGAGAGATTCCATGTGCAGCTTTATAGTGTTTCTTACTTTTTAGTTTTGGGTGTTTCTTATATTAAATTGACACTCAGCAGTGGAGAGGCAGACCACAAATATGGTGTTGTCACATGCAACAAAGGTCCCTGGTTGAAAGCAAACTGCGGCGGTTGTGGTTTTGTGGTAGGCATTGTAGCCAGATCCATTATTGAGTACATCTGTCCCCTGTGATATCCATTCAGATTGATGGTTTACAGATATTTAGCGTTTACCTGTCTGTACTCTATCTTGAGTTATAGGACAGTGGTTGTGAGAGCATTAAATATTAAAAATGTTTATAAAAGCAACATAGGACAGCTCTTTGTAGCATTATGGGAGTTGTGATCACATTGGACTGTTAATTTCAGTCTATCGATATATATCACGTTATAAATCAAATCACTATTTCTGTCATTTCAGCTTCAGATGGTAAAAAAGATTAGTGGTATTACCTGTCTTTGTGGGAACATGCTCTAAATAAAATTTGCAGTGCACGCTAATCTACTTCTTGTCAGACTTTATATAGCCAAAATATCTCCACACTACCAAATTCCATGGACCCTTCTTTCCACACTCTCCTTGTCTTTTGAGCCTTGGGCTGTGTCTGTTGGGGTGTCTTCTTCGGTAACGCTGTCGCTTGAGTTTTCATGATTATTTTCTGTCGTCATATTCTCTTTTATCTTGCTCACACTCCTGATGTACTGGTGTGCATG